TCTCGTTAAAAACATAAAAGACCTCTATAGACGTCTTTGGCAGCCAACGAGTTAACTGTGTCCAATAAATGTCATTTTTTATACTTTTGATCCACTCCGGTTTATTCTCAGGTTTCCAGGTGAAGAATCGGGTTAACACGTTCTCAGATTAAACACATCTGTGTGCTGTTAACATTTAATCTCAAATGAAGAGATCAATGGATCCAGTGACGTGTTTTAATGTTGGATACCTGAAGATTAAATAAAGCGATAACACGAAGCCTTTGGACTGGCGTTTTGAACATCTAGCATCTTTTACAAAAACAACAACCAGTCATTCCCAGCCTTCCCCAATCCTACAAGATTATGCTACAGATCAGTAATAACACTCACTCACTCTGGAGATGCTCTAAGTTCCTGTCTCTGGGGAAATCAGCCTCCATCTGGGGGCCGGCCGTTTGGCAGCCGTAACGGGCTGGACATATGCCGGCCGTTAGCGGACGCTAGCTAGCCGGCCGTTAGCTGGACGCTAGCCAGCCGTTAGCAGAGGCTAGCCGGATGCTAGCCGGCCGTTAGCAGCCTGGCCTGATTTATGAGGCACAGCCAGGATTACTCACCAGTCACAGACTAATTTCAGCCTCCTCATGGCACCCAGCCAACCAGCAACCTGCTCCTGTTGACTCAGGAGAAGCTGAAAACTACCTGTGGAGGGGTTCACTATTTCTGGGGGGGGGTTATGTTTATCAACTCCAGACACTGGCTGGACCCTTCCTTATCCGGACGGATCACCTGTGGCTTCACAGCCACTCTGAGCTCTTTAAAACACCCAAAGCGTGTGGAAAAATGAGACATTTTCTCCTGGTTTATTCTGAGAGAAAACTGTGGATAATGAGAGGCTCGTTTTAGCCTTCTGGGTCTGTTTGAAAACAGGCTTCCAGGTAAAATCAAGGACAAAACTGCATATTCTGCAAGCATATTCATAATTTTTGTTGATCACCATTTTTGGAAATTTAAATGTGCTCAAACAGTTGCAGGTTGAAAAACCAAGACTTCTTTAAATAAATTTATCATGTCCAACAGGCCTCTGAGTCCTGGGGGTCCTGGGGGTTTTGGTACAGGCATGTATATCCTGGTTTGGGCTCATGTGAGGGGATGCTAATGCTAAATAGATGCTAAATAGATGCTAATAGGGCTGAATGCACTGGTGTAATAATAAGAAATTGTCTTATAGACGATCTGAGTTTGTCCTCATGACCCTTTTGTGTGTTTTAAATGGCTTCTGTGTGTGTGAGTCTCTCTGTGACCCATCACCTGCCCCCCCCCCCCCCAGCCTGTCAGCAGTGGGCTGGAGGTGACGGCCGTCCCCTGACCTTTGACCCCCGGCTGACAGCTCATTGCTGGGGAGGCTCCTCCGTGAGGAGGACGTCATTGAAGTGACGTCTGGAATACGACCGGAGGAGTTCAGGGGGGGGGGGGGGGCTTTAAAAAACAATTTTTTACTGACAAACCGTCCGGGGTTTCAGAGCCGGGGGGGGCCAGTCCTGGAAAGCCTCTTTCCTCTCTGGAAAAAAATGTTTTAGGAATCCTACCAGCATGTTTATGCTCTCTGAGATAAAGAGGATTTCTATTTATTTTTGGATGAATTTGAATTAGCAATACTTGTTTTATGTATATAGATTTTTAGAACTGGGCTATGATTATTCACTTTAGCATAGCATGCTACAGCTTAATCCATGTAAATGACTGATTGTCTTATTCCTGTTTAGATGTATATTATTCCCTTTCTAATTCTACTTTTGGGTTAAACTCTCTGGCTCCTCCTCCTCTCTCTGTTACAGTATCTATCTATCTATCTATCTATCTATCTATCTATCTATCTATCTAT